GGAACTATTTTGTTCTGTAAGCCTTCATCTAAAGTGAGAATAGCAGCACAATTGGAAGAGCGTAGTCGATGTCACTGAACTGTGCATGTAGAAATTTTTGTAATGGTGTGCCTTTGGCTATGTGTATTTTTACCAAAAAAAAAAGGTCAAGAGGGGAGAGAGCTGACATGTTGTCGGGTTGTTAACCAATGTCATGAAACAGTATGTGTACTACTGTTTCATGAGAAACTATTTGTTCTGTAAACCTTCACCTGAAGTACAATTAAAAAAAAAAAAGATCCATACAAATCTTTTGTTCATTATGTACCATGAAATTTTGGATTCACTTGAAGTAGATTTTCCTGGAATGAATTATCCTCAGATAACAAGATTCTCTTGTACTTCTATTGCTGTGTTAATTAGGATGCATTAAAATTTGTCCATATATCTGTCTCTTCCTCTAGCCTATACAGTCCTTGAGAATAGATGTTATTTCATGTCTGTAACAAGTACCGTTCCTGGAATACATTAAATGCTCAATAAAACTGAGCTGACTTGAAGACTGCACTATTTGCAATAAATAATTTTGTAATTGAGTCTATCATCAAACGTCCTGTAAATAAATAATGTATACTCAATACTGAAACCATCCAACTTGCTATTTCAAATAGTCTCAATTTTCAATTAGATTTTGAATGCTTTGCCTATGTTTAAAAATATATTTTTTTTAAAATTATACCTTTATACACAGAAAGGCATTTAATAGGGGTCCATAGAGAGTTATCTGGGAATCTGGGGAAAGTTCCATTTCTACATGAAGTTTATCAGGTGGAAGTTCTGAGGGATCAATAGGTGGGCGTGAAGAAGCAGAGGGAGAACAAACAGCTCTGTCTGTCGTTTTCTGGGATGGCCTTAGTACAGATAGCATTGTTTCTTCCATTTCTGACACTAGATTTAAAAAAAAAAAAGAGAAAGATTAATGGTGTTTGGACAAAAGGGAAAAGTAATTCTTAGAAGTTCTTCAAGGAAATATTAACTAAAAAATTTTATTTTGCAAATATGAAAGCAACTAATCCTGATGCTATATACATAGTATATAGTGAAAATAGACCTAAAATACCAATAATTAAGAAAGCAAGTAAGAACAGCGTACACTGAAATATGTAGAGAAATACACAAATCAGACTGTGCAGAATCAACCAAAAGTTCCTATTAATACAAGCAACAAACATTTTCACTGACTCCCTGCAGTATAAATCTGAGTCACAATTAGGCCTTAACTATACTTGGGCATTAAACTACAAAGTTGTTTTTTACATAAACAGCTATTCAAATACAACATACTGTCAAGCCACCATGTATATAAACAATAATGAAAACTATTATTTGCATTCGCTTTTTGTGGATAAATTGTGAATAAATACAAAGAAAACCTCACTTGACTCTAGTTCCCTTTATTACCTGGAAAGTAAAGCAAATTACCTTCAAGGAACTCTAAATTACATAATAATTGTTAAAATGTATTAAAGAAACTAATAGTTCACAAAATCAAGCACTTTAAATACAGTCATGTGTCACTTAATGTCCATGATATGTTCTGTGAAATAGGACACTGTGATTTGGACGTTATACAAACATGAGATAGGATGCTGCTGCCTACGAGTCAAGGCATACACTATTACACGGTAAACTTTTTATCTGTAAGTAGGGAACGTTCACATAAAAATAACGATAGAAAGTATAGTACAGTAAACACATAAGCCAGTAACACAGGCGTCTATTATGACTATCAAGACATATGTATTATATGTTATATATACACTATACCATATATATACCTGGCAGCACAATTACTTTGCATACAAGAGACATGAGATACACCTGATGTATGCGGGAAGCTGTTGCGTCCACTACGTCTGGTTATGTCTCCTACATCTGGTTACGTCCACTACATCCCATTCTCTGATCAGGATTTCTGAACTCTATTATAATCTTATGGGACCACGCACATACATGCGGTCAGACATTGCCCAAACGGACATTATGCGGCCCATGACTGTATACAGATTCACCCAGACCTTGTTTCATATTCCAGCTCTGCTGCTTCTAGCTTGGCAGACCTTGGGAAAATTACTTACCTTCTCTGAGCATATTCTGTCAACTCTAAAATGAGAATAACAGTAACAATAATATCTATCTCATACAGTTATTGTAAAGATTAAGTGAAATAATGAAAGCTTGAAAATTGCTTGGCCTAGTATTTGATACACGGTAAATGCACAATAAAAATCAGCTATAATTATAACAGAATGTTTTAAAGATTATAAACATATACAATTATGTTAGATGATTATCAATCACAATGCCAGCTGTTTCGAGGTACAAATTATATAAAAACACTTACATGATTGTTTTAGCTGTTCATCTGCTTTTTGTGGATAAACTGGATGCCATGTATAATCAATTGTCAACAGCACACTTGGGACAGTCCAGCATTCAACCCAACCAGCCCTTCAAAGAGTAAAAAACAAAGTTTCTAGTACTTGTTCCTTTAATTGTATAGACGCCAGTTACAGATGATCAAGTTTTATTATTATTCTTACAGCAGTAATAATTTCTTCACACATAAACACAAAATGCTAGGTCACTAATTTTACGTGACTCACTTTTCTTGAGTAATATTCCGCCATTTTGGTTTAACTGTTTTCTGGCCACTTTGACACTCAGCAGGAATACCAGTATCATGAGTCATTTTACTTGAGTGGCAATTCTTTACCAGCATAAATAATGAATATTTACTGGGGTGGCAATCTGGTAGAAACAAATGAAGATCAACATCTTCTCCCTAAAAAATAATTTATAATAACCAAAAGTAACAAAATCGGTATGTAAATGTTAGGATACTATTCACAATCCAAATAAATCTACAACAATCTTGAAAATAAACTTGAGAGAAGATAAACATAACTTTAAATGGAAGATTTTACATTGAATGGTCAGGTAAATAACTGGAAAAAGATTTTACATTGACTAAAACTAAATTCTGATTGAAAAATAAAGGAAAAAAGTAAGGAAAGAAATATACAGTTTCCACATAAAAGAGAAAAAGAAAAAGACATATTTCACAAGTAACTCAGTAAAAAAGTAAAAAACTGCCTCACCAATATAACCTAAAGTGGGAATGTGTTCTGGCTTTTTTTAAATTAATTTTTTAAATATTATTGTCTCCTTTGATTCTAGTAAGACATGGTTCCTCAATTCGCTTTTAATAATGCTGAACTGGTACATCTAAGGATCTTCATTTGGTTTCAATTTCTTCCTTACAGGTCCTTTAATCTTTGTTCATCTTGATGCTTGGTTTCTTATCAGGTAGTATAGTGTAGTGGTTAAAAGACCCCTAAGCTATGTTGCCTTTGTTCAAATCAGGTCTTCGAACCGGTTTGGAATGGTTCAGTAATTGCCAGCGTAAACGGGGGCAGCATAAGCATTGCATAGCAACCAAATCTATCACCTATGGGATTCTGAACAGAGTAGGAAACAAACAGCAGTGCCCTGCTCAAAGATGGCGGCCAATCAAGCCACTTTAAATGTGTGTCACTCTCCACAGTCCTGCCGATAATACAATCTCCCACATCAGGTTCCTGAAACTTTCAGGATCCATGCAGGAGACTGGATTATCGGCAGGACTGTGGAGAGCGACACACATTCAAGGCAGCAGGGTCGGCCACCACCTTTGAGCAGGGCACTGCTGTTTACCTCTTACTTGGGTCAAAATCCGATGGGCAACAAATTTGGTTGCTATGCAATGCATATGCTGCTCTCATTTATGTTGGCAATTACTGAACCCTTCTGAACCTGTTCGAAGCCCTGGTTCAAATTCCAATTTGGCCACTTACTAGCTGCATGACAAGTTACATAAACTCTGTTCCTCAGTTTCCTAATCGGTAGGTGCAGATAATAAAAATATCCACCTCAAGGATGTTGTTCTGAAAATTATATGAGTTACTACACATGAAGCACCCGAAAGATTATTTGACACTTGGAAAAGGTTTAATAGGTGCTAGCTGCTCACATTATTATTATTACAACCATACCACGACTAGTACTACCACCTCTACTACTTGTCCATGCCCTAAGTTAGGTGTTCCACAAAATTCTGATTTTAGGAGAAATACTTATAAGCTGGCTTTCTGATAAAGGGAAGAAAGGTGCTTTTGGTTATTCCTTGAATTTCTGACTGTGATTAGGAATCAACATAGAGAAGTGTAAAATCTACTTCATAAGTCTAGTGAATATTAGAGCTAGAAAAAAATTCTTAGGAGAAAGTACAGATTAACCATGGAGGTTAGAAATGAGCTCTAAGAAAATAACCATTTAGGAATTTTTTTTGTTGGGGGGTGAGAGGGTCCAACTTCTTAGGGGTAGTTAACTACAAAAAGGAAACAGCAGCAACTCTATGAGGCTGAATGAATGGAGGAAAGCTAAGATACCTCAGATTTCCAGGGGAGAGTAAAAGAAAAGCTTTGAGAAATAAAACTTACTACTAAACCTTGTGAAATAAACAATGCATCCAATTATACATACTTTTAGAGAGAACTTGGTATTACATGTAGCTGGCACAAAGTCCGTAAATGGCAAAGAGAAATCAATGTTCAGTGTTTCTCCACAGGCTGCCAAATAAACTACAAAAAAAAAAGGAAAAGAAAATTTACTTTTAATTTCAATAAAATTTTAATTAAAAATTACCTTAAATGCATACTTAAATAAGACAATATGCTTAGTCCAAAACAAACACTGTAATGGTCCTCTGGGAGTCTTACAAGATAATAGGGAAAAAATAAATTCTAGTATCTTTTAAAACCATAAAATCAACACTGATTTTCTTTGTTGGCATTTTTATTAATGAGCAGAATACTTAAACCAATTTTCAACAAGTTCTTACCATTTTCCTGCTGTTTGGTTGAACAGTCAATCCAATTGTGTTGATTAGCAGCCCAAATCATTTCAAACTGATGAAACATGATTTTAAAATTCCATGTATATGGAACAAATGAAAAAATGTCCGGAGCACTATCACTAGACCAGTCTTGAATTAAATCTAAAATTATTGGGGTATGGGACAGAAAGTAAAATTAACTGAAATTCATACACAAAACAAAGATTCTAACACCAGTAAAAAACAAATTTTTCTTTTCTAACTAAAAGGAACTTTTATACTAAAATATTTAAAAGATGATTAAGATGTAGCTAAATGATTTGGTTTACTTACTAATCACAGTTCTAAATAAGAAAAATAGTATACATTTCATATACCTATTTTTCCACAAAATTTTAGAAAAGAGAAAAAAAAAAAAAATCACCTGCTATTCCACTATCCAAATATCTAACACTGTGGATACATTTCTTTCTAGCTTTTTTCATGTAGGTTTTAACACTATCCTTTATGCACATGTTTTACATGTTGTCTTTTTCACTGAATTCAAGTATTTTTCCTTGTTATTTGACACACTTATATAACGTTTGCATAATAATTCATTAAAGAGACTTGCCAAGATTTACTTAACCTTTCCTACAAATGGATATTCACATTCTTTCCAAATTTCTGTGTTATACATAAAGATAACACGTGTATTTTGTGCAAGATACTTTACATATTTAGGATTACTCTGTCAGCACAGATTCCAGAGTAGAAATTCTGGGTCAAAGTTTAGAAATTTTTTTAAGGCTACTATATATCATAGAATTGCTTTCTAAGAAAAGTGAATCCATTTATACTCCCACCAGAAATGTATGCTTGACTATGTATTTCACTGTACCTCTCCTGCAACTGTATTTTTCTCTCTTTTTTGATTTGATAATTGTTAACTGAAAGAAAAATGGTAACTTAATTTAACTGCATTTCTTAATTACAAGTATAGTTGAATATTTTTTCATATTTCCTTATTCATTAAACAAATATCTGAGTTCCTAGTATGTGCCAGATTCTGCTCTAGACTCTGGAAATACAATGGTTAATGAAACATAGACCAGGCTATCTTAGAATTTACAGTCAATCATCTTTATTGATTGTTGATTTGTTGAATATTTTACTGGTTGCTTTTTAAAATTATATTCATGTATTTAACCTGCTTGTACTTTGGTATGTTATTATGATTATTTTTTTGATCAGCGTGTAAAATTTCTTTACATAAATACATTAGCTTAGTGGTTAAGAAGTTGGCAGTTCGAATCCACCAGCTCTTCACTTTTTCTTCTGGCCTCTGCATTGTTCACATGCATTGTATACTCCCAGTAATAAACCTTTCAATAAAAGGTCTCATCCTAGAGGTGCCAAACTTATCGTTGTATTTTCAGAGTACGTAACACAATGCTACGCATATAAAATTAAGAGCATGTGTACGTGTGTGTGTGTGTGTGTGTGTGTGTAATAACAACTGGCAGCAGTATTATAGCATGGACTTTGACACGAGACAGTTCTGGGTTTAAATTCTAGTTTCATCATCTTACTAGCTATGTAGGCTTGGGCAGTTAAAAAACTGTTCTCAAATGTCTCTTCCACTTACTAGCTTCATGTGTCTGGCCAACTCATTGTTTCTGTGCCTCAATTTCCTCATTGTTAGCTCAGGGATATTAACAATCCTATCCTTTCCTTTTCAGAGTCATTGTGAAGATAATATAAGTGAATTCACTTTGTAAGTGGCAAAGTACTATGAAAATCTTAGTTAATATTACTGCATTAAGTATCAAAGACCATTTCAGACCTTACTGTCTTTCCTTACTTTCTTTGATTATCCTCAGATCACAGTAATTTCTTCTGTATTCAATTCTCACTCATGTGCACTTGTTAGCTTCACAATTCACACCTGCACGCAATATATACTGTTTTGTATTATGTCATTTGTCTATTTCTAGTGCACCATTCCATTTCAACTGTTCATCTCTAGTCTCATATACTTAAGGCTAATAAACAACACAATTAAGATATGACCATAAACTCTCTGTGGGCAGAGATCATGCTTAATGTTTGTTTTGAATTATTATTCATGTAAGAGACTTTCAATTTAAATTGGTTGCATTTACCTACTTTACATTTCTATTATTGAAAAGACTGAGATATAATTGCTAGAAAATAAATACAAACTCAACCTACTACTTAGCTCAAAACATCGATATACTTTATTATTAGCCAATTTTAACAAATCTTAGTATTTTTTCTTCAATAACTTACTTGAATTTTCAATGTCACTATTCTGTAATACAGTTTTTCTGCCAGATTCTCAAATATCTTTACTGATGAATATTAAAAATTATGGTGACAAAATATTCTTATTAGGAGCCTCAGCAACCGTTTCTATTATATATTTCTCTTTAAACCAAAATCTGCTTTCATTATCAGATGGTCTTATCAAATAATGTGAATAGAAAGAGGAAGCATTTTCTTAATGACCATCTTACTTAGTCAACAAAGTAAAAAGTTATTAAGGTGGCAATCTAAATGTTAGTATGAAAAAATCCTATAAAACGTCAACCAGCTGGTACTGGCGCTTTGCAATATTGTTAAATTGTTTTCTTCTCCTCCTTATCAAAGTAAATCTAAATCAATTTCATTATTTCCAGAAGAAACTTCAGCTTCTGCCTTTGTTTTACAGATTTCACTCCTGGGGCTCTATATTATATTTATTATAAACCTATCTTTGTACTACATTGAAATCTCTTAAGAACATTTCATCTCACCAATAGGTGGCATGAGAATAGCTTTTGAGAAATATTAGGCATTCTCTAACACCAAACAGAAAATTTCACATCTGCAGAATTCCACCACTGGAGAAATGAAAAACTGAGAAAAGTGATTCAAACACTGTGTGTGTTCTCTCAAGGGCTAAACTAATATTATTTCCTAACGGTCATCTTTTTTTAAAGAATAAATATGTTAAAAGGGGCTCTAGTTATTCTAATGCTGTATGTCTTTAAAAAACAGAATAATATGATCACATGTAATGACTTAAATCTGGGATATGAGAATTCAGGTGATGGTTACATTTATTTCTGTATCTTTCTGTATTTTTTTTAAATTAATCCTAATAAATTTTAGGAAAAAAAAAATCAATAACCAAGAAAGTTGATTTCAATAAGCATAATCAGAAAGATATGTAATTAGATAAAGAAAATAATTTAGGGGAGATACAATTATAATTTAAGAAATGTGTGCTTGGCTGTTTAAAAATAAATAATGCAATACAAAGTCTAAACGAAAATGTCACTACAAAACAAAAATTCGGAAAATCATGAAGAATTTATACTCTTACTCCAGTTATCCTTAGTATTGATAGAGTCTGAGGATGTAAAATGTCTGAAGGAAAAGTATGTTAAGAATTAAATGCCTGAAGATAGGAATCTATTTTAAAGGATAGCAAAGTTAAGAATTCAAAAATCTAGGGCTACAGTCAGGGAGGCTACATAACAGACTCTTGAGCAGACTACTTGGATTTGAATCCTAGCTTGGCCAATTTACTAGTCATGTGACCCTGAACAAATTGCTTGACCTCTCTGCAACTCAGCTTCATCTGTAAAATAAGGATAATAATAATACTGATCTCAGAGAGTTATTATGAGGATTCAACGATTTAATATGTACAAACTGCTCAGAACAGTGCCAAGCAAATAATACACAAATACGTTTTAGCTATTATTTTTTTCATAAATCTGACAGTTAATTTGAACTGCAAACTGCTCATTTAATATTCAGCTTAACTAACAAAAGTTAAGCTTGCCAGGGACTCTGTCAAAATTTCTACTACTAAGACCCTGACTCAAGACTTGGAGAAGAATTACATAACAACTCCAAGAACACAGAAGCTCTATCTAGTCCCCCAGATAAGGTTCCCAGCCAAACCAGAAAACAAATGTAAAAGACCTAGGATTGAACATATTGCAACAGTGGCATTATAAAAGTCTAAAACTCTAGCAATAGAAAAACTTAGGGTAGAAATTATTATTCCTATTTCACAGATAAGGAAACTGAAGCTTAAACAGTGAAGTAACTTGGCCAACATTGTACCACTAGTAAGTAACATGAAGACAGAACTACATATACCTTCTTTACCACTCTACCCTACAAATATCTAATAGCTCTCAGTATGACTAAATGCTTAGTAAATGATTACCGGATGGATGGACAGGTGGACGGATGGATGGATAAAGCAGTCAAGCAAAGATTAGGTTGCTCTGAGGTACCACTGACTCTAGCAAATTAGACCAACTCTGTTTGGCCAAACTCTTTAGATGAAGTATCTTCAATAAGGATACTTATTTTTACGTAGTAACAACATTTGTGTTATTCACAAACCAAGACTACACGTTTCTACACTCATGAAATATGGGTAGCTATCATAACATGCTTCAAGAAATAAAGGATTTTTTCCAACTAGTGATAGCACCAATGAGATTATCCATGCTGATAGGAAGTAGTAAGCAGGGGTTCCAAATGCAAAAATCGCTGGCTATTAGAATATATTGTTTAGGGATTACAATCATTAAACAAAATAATGAAGGTATAATGATGCCTACTTCTGGAACCAGTAGAGAAACTGGTCCATCTTCCCATCTCATCTCCCATTAGACTGATAAAAAGCGCCAGCCCGAGTTACCCAGTTTTCTTCTAAGCTCAATTTTTGGTTCGTATTTCCTTGTTTGGATTAGAACAGAACACAAAATGCCTATTTTTTAAATTTCCCTTTGATATTCTTGTCCCAAAAAGAAGTGTAAAAGTAAGAAAGTATGAATAGTGTCATCATATCCCCATGTTAAATTTAAAAGCAAAACTTACTGAATGTAAACAAGTTCACTGTGATCCATTTTCATTGTATGTACATTTATTAGTAAATTACCTGTAAAGAAGTTCTTCTGTGCAAAGATGAAGTGGTAGGTGGCTTTATAAACCTCTAGTTCACACTGCCATGTCTGCGGCATGTTCCATATTCGGGGGTAACTGGCATTGATGTGGAACTACAAACCAAATGTTAAGTAAAAATGTTACAGCTTAAAATGTGACAATGTGAGAACAGCATTAGAAATTAAGTCACACACACTGGTGACTAATTAAAACTTATTTTCCTACGGAGCTGAACAGAAGGTCCCTTCGAGTCTTCTAATATTGCTGTGGCTGAAGGTCAGTATCTGTGGTCACATCCAGCTCCTTAAAATACTAAGCCGCGATGTGGTCAAAAAAACTTTAAAAACAACAAATCAGCTACAGGTTTTTTGTTTGTTTGTTTATTGTTGTAAAAATATATATATACAACACAACATTTGCCAATTCAAGATTTTTCAAATGTACAATTTAGTGACACTAATTACATTAATCAGGCTACAGTTTTGAAAATACACTCCAGTTAATTTAATGGAGTAACAGCCAACTTCTCCAATTCTTCCTTAAGCCCCACCTGTTAAGTGAGAGGCTCAGGATGAGGGAGGATGGGGAAGAACATATACTGTCCTACAGAAGTCTGGCCACCAGTGCCTCCAGGGGTTCCCATTTGACAGAACAACAGTTAAAGATCTGACATGGTGCTTTGTAGCATATTCCACCTGTTAAAAGCTGACATTTCTACAAAGGCCAAAGCTTCCTGCCCCGGAACACTACTGTTGCCAGAAACTATCAGCAACAGCTCAGGAATTCATTAAAATGCTGAATATTCCCGTTTAATAAATATATTCTTAGAATTGTGAAATTTTCATATTTCATGTATATATAAATGTCATGTGATGTTGAGACCATCTTATATGAAAGAATCCTCTCTGAATAACAACTATTCTATGTAGTGGCTTTTGTCATTGTTGTTGTCTCTGATTAAAAAAATAATAATCTGCCTCATTAATGAGTCCCCAATATGCAATTTTAATCATGGGCATTTCCACATTGTTTCTTTTTCTAATATGGAGTAATCAGGATATCGATAATATTTTTTTTTCCTTTTATCTTATTCATCATGTTAAAAGCACAATAAATTACATTACTTAAGCCCTGAGAAAGGAATCAAATAAGGCTAGAAAACATGGTAAAAAATTATCTTACTTAAAATTTAGGAGGGATTTAGTCAGCCATATAATAAAGTTTAAAAGTAATATTCTAACAGCTTTTCACATTTTTTAAGGATAAAAAACCATGTATCGTTGCCTTTTATTCCTTTCCCCATACTAGAAGCAGAGCAACAGAGATACCAAAGGAAGTCCATAGCACTGGGAATCCACACCTCTTCCCAAAGACAGGACCAAGAGCACATAGTGGTTCTTGAATAAGACGAACCACTGAATAACTTCTCCTCATTTAAATTTTATATATTGAACAATTAGAACCAACTCTGTATTTCATGCATTAATGTATATCATCAATAAGCTCTAGACTTACCGCTAACATTTCTGCTTCTAAAAGGGTCCGGTATTGCATGCTGGTAGTGGCATCAACATGTAAGAGTTGTCCTTTAATTGCAGGGGTGTAACCTAATAAAAGAAAATAAAAAAATTCAGAACCTAAAAAAAAGTATACAATTTAAAATCTTTGAAACTGAACCAACTCCCACTATGACCCAGAAAAGGAATCCCTGAAAAATGGTGATCAGTCACTAGCTAAATACACTCAGTGACAAGGAGCTTGCTACTCCGTATCCATATACTGGCTATCCATTGTCCTGATTTTGCCTTCCAATGCAAAACTATCAATCCCTTCTCTAAATGATACTCTCTTCTTTCGCTTACTCAAGGGTGCATATTTTCATCATTTTCAACTACTCCTTATGCAACAGCAGTTTTCTAAACAACACAGTCCTATTCTGAACAAAAGCAGAACAATTTAGAGCATTACATTTCCTTTCCTGATGGGGTGCCCGCCTATGAACACTAACGCAATGGTCATTATTACACTGTTAGTTCAACATGCATCCTACTCAGCATTTTCTTATAAACACCTAGATCTCTAGAAAAAGTTTTAAATTTATTTGTTTGAAGTTGTATTTTGTTCTTGCCGAGACTTAAGTACATTTTTCCCTTTGGCTCTTCAGACAATCATCTTAAAAACTACCTAACCTTTATAGAATGTGACTGGGTATTCCTTAAACCCTTAATTTATTCAGAATTTCACAAGTGTCCTGCAGTACTTGTCAAAAATTCATAACTGGTGTTTGCTTGAAGGAATGATCCCTTTAGCCCTCAGGTGACCTCTTTACCCCAGTGTGACACATAAGTATGATTTCTTATGTGTATCATCAGGTTAAAAAATGTGAAGGATTTCATTAAGTAAATTATTCTCAATTTTGTGCAACCAGGACTGTTTCTTTCTCCCATCATATACCCATAATTAAAACTGTTCTAAAAGATGCTTCTTTCCAACAGCCTATTCTGAATCAACCAGTCCTAGAAATTCTCAAGCATCTCCTTGAAGACTTAATATTTTTCTTTTAAAACTAGCTAAAATGAGCTTTAGTTCTTCACTAAAACAGCCCCAAAGTTAAGGGAAAAGAGAGACTGTTATTCTCAGTCACTTTTTCACTTGATCATCTATGCAAGCTAATAAACCCAGTCAATCCCTCTGCCTGCTTTTTCTAAGTAGCACCAAAATAAGTGACAATACTAAGGAAAGATGACTAACAATTATATAAAATCTAAATATACTTAGCAATAGTATCATTGCCAATTAGCAGTTTAAAAATATGGGTGAGATGTCATTTCCTTTCCTCTCAAGAAAGGAATAAGTAAAGCAGAATTTCACCTGAACTTCTCTCAATTAAAAATGTAATAAGAGATGACAGCAGAAGGCAAAATAAAACAGGCTATATAACAATTTGATAAGTTTAACAAAAAGTATTTGTATTACTAATTAACTTGTATTGGTACCCATATTTCAAATGCATAATGAACTTAGACTGTTGTTGTTGTTAGGTGCTGCTGAGTTGGTTCCAAATCGTAGCAACCCTGTGTACAACAGAACGAAACACTGCCCGGTCCTGCACCATCCTCACAATTGTTGCCATGCTTGAGCCCACTGTTGCAGCCACTGTGTCAATCCATCTTGTGGAGGGTCTTCCTCTGTTTTATGACCCTCTACCTTACCAAGTATGATGTCCTTCTCTAGGGACTGGTTCCTCCTGATAACATGCCCCAAGTATGTGAGATGAAATTTTGCCATCCTTGTTTCTAAGTAGCATTCTGGCTGTACTTCTTCCAAGACAGATTTGTTTGTTCTTCTGGTATATTCAATATTCTTGGCCAACACTATAATTCAAAAGCATCAATTCTTCTTCAGTTTTCTTTATTCAATTGTCCAGTTTTCGTGTGCATATGGGGCGACTGAAAACACCATAGCTTGGGTCAAGCACACCGTAGTCCTTAAGGTGACATCTTTGCTCCTTAACACTTTAACGAGGTCTTTTGCAGCAGATTTGCCCAATGCAACGTGTCATTTGATTTCTTAACTGCTGCTTCCATGGGCGTTGATTGCGGATCCAAGTAAAACAAAATCCTTGACAACTTAGATTATCTCAATTTAAACAGAACTATAGCTATCAGGGCATTACTTAATATTTTAAATATGAAATACTCTACTTTCTTAAAGTTATGCTGTTCAAAGTACCAAACTTACTCTCTGACAAAAAACTATTAACAGAATAATCTAAAACAAGGCCTATTAGTCATGTAATCAATTACTGCCCATATACATATGCCAGGGGATACACCAACGAAAAAGAGACACAGCACCTGTTCTCATGGAGCAACAGCCTAACAGGAAAAACATGTGTTAAGTAAATTATGCTAAGTCCTACAAAAGCAATGCATAGCCTATAATGAAAGTACAGAATTATAAGACCTAGCTTGATAAGACATACTGCCCTTGTCTCTAGGTGTTCAACACTTTAGTTATGTAACATTTACTTTTAATAACTAAAGGCACATCAAAATATAATACATTGAAAAAAGCCCCATTAATGTTAGTACAAATGGATTAATAGACTGTATTATTAATATATTAACTAATTTTCTACCAATCATTTAAAACAAAAATAATTGTGGCTTACCATTTTCCGCAACTGTCATTGGAATATTAATTTCTAAATATGAACCAGCTCCTACATTTACATGTACGGCATTTGTTTCCTACCAAAATAAAAAATTAATTCATATAAAATATTCATTATGATTACAGTGCCACCATCTTTACTTTTCAGTTATTATCACATTAAAAAAAAAACAAAACCTACTGCCATCAAGTCGATTCCAACTCATAGTGACCCTACAGGACAGAGTTGAACTGCCCACAGGGTTTCCAAGAAGCGCCTGGTAGATTCCAACTACCAACCTTTCGGTTAGCAGCCATAGCTCTTAACCACTACACCACCAAGGTTTCCTATTATCATATAGGAAATATAAACATCAATGATATTAAATATGTATTAAAAGCTCCTAAGAATAAAAGTTCAAATGTATACCAAAAATACATAAAACAATTTGACTAGACATAAAGGAGAAAATGAACCAGAATATCATAAAAATGTCTATTATTCATTAATTAATTTCTTTCTATTATATGGCATTAATAAAAAATATGATGAAAATAACATACATACAATTATTCTGAGGGGCGAAAAAAACTCACAGAAACGTATCTAAGTATAGGACTAGTCACCAAAAAATATTCTGGAAAATGATGTTCAAGTTTTAAGCACCAAGTATTTTCTACTATATTATTTCAATAATTACCCTATTTTTAGTAAACAGCAAGTCAATTGTAGCATCTGCAATAATGTTCATCCGTAGTTCAAAAGCAAGGATCTGTCTTGGTCTCCCAGGCTGTGCAATTTCAGAAACTTTCAGAACTTGATAATCAGGTGGAAAGAAAAACTTCCACAAACAATCTCTAAGTAAGGAAGCAGAAGGAATAATGATATGTTTTTCAAACAAAAGTACCTCTGATAAGTGTCCAAAATCAGTATTCTTACTTTACATTATCATTGCTATCTCATCTGACAATTACACAAGAAACCCATTCACAAATGTAAAAGTCACAAAGCAATAACACCTCTATAATCTCTAGCCTTTCAGTAGAATGAAAGATTGTTTTCTCCAATGTTTTATACTTCCAGAGATCAATGAGCTGTGAACACTTAATAGCCAAACTATTATTAAATGAGACACAAATAGGACTAAATTTGCACTATTAAACTGTACTATGAGAAATTCTACAAGTATACCAATTGTCCAAAAGCCAAAGGAACAAGTGGAAGATGATGGTTTAATTACAATCATCATTCTACTGTAGACAAGTTACTTAATCTTTCTGAGAAAACCTGACCCGTTTCCCCATCTGTAAAATAGGAATAACATAACCTATGTCATAGAATGCTTCTGAGGATTAAATGACAATATAGTGGAAGAGACTTGGCAGAGAGTGACACATGGAAGAAGTGACTTTTTTTCTACTATTTTCATAATTTTTTTAAAATAAACATCAGTAAGAGGCTAAGGAGCAATAGATTTCTGAAAAGTAAATAAGTGTTCTGAGGCTAAGGTTCAATGTACTTTCCTCTCCTCTCATTTGACAAAGATGAAAGAACCCCAGAAATGTTCAATTCAGAGTCATCTACGTGAGCTAACATAAGTTCATTGTTATTCATGCACGCAGAGAAAGTGCCAGTTTGTGGCTTTTAAAAAGCAAGGGCTGAGAAAAGAATAACCAGTGACAGGAAATGCTGTTTGGAATATGTAAGACTAGAAAAAAACAGATAAAGAGAGCAAAATTTGCACAGCGAGCCAGCAAGCAAACACTCTTAACTTGTCATCATTAAATTAAAATGAATGAAAGGAAAAAAAAGTCCTGCAAATGTTTTGGCTAAGACACACAAAAGTATAAAATTAAGAATATTAAGGACAAAGGCTCCAGGGTGATTGTTAGATGATCATGAACTACAAGTTAGTTGAACAGCAGGATATAACGGTAAGAGCAGTGGACTTGAAGGGTTGGTGAGAATCTCGACTCTAGATTCCGTGGCTTCGCTACGTAGCCCAGATCACAGAAACTCTCTGATCTCCATTTTCTCATGTTGCTGTTGCTGTGTGCCATCAAGTCAGTTCCAACTCACAGTGACCCTACAGGACAGAGCAGAACTGCCCCATAGGGTTTCCAAGAAGCGTATGGTGGATTTGAACTGCTGACCTTTTGGTTAGCAGCCAAGCTCTTAACCACTAAGCCAGCAGGGCTCCATTTTCTCATAGGTATAGTGAAATAAGCACACCTATCCTGTCTATCTCACTAGGTTATGAGGGTCAAGCATGAAAATATACACAAAAGCACTTAAGTGAAAGCAATAAAACATCAGACGACGTCAGGAATGTCTGCATTATCATCTAAGGATTAATTCAATTCTAATAAAGTCTGTATTTCAAATCTGTCATGAAAACTCTTAAAAAGAAATAAATAGAAAAAAGAAAAAGAAAATACCATGAAGGCAAATGCTGAAAAATATATTAAGGATTCATAAAATCATGTAAAAGTGAAAGAACTGACATCGAAATCTGTAAGCTAAAAGGTCACATTATGTCAGAGACCAATAACAATGCTGATAGTGAACTATCCAATAGCAAAACAACTGGTATTTCTTCCATTAATAGAAGGATGCTAAGAAAACGGACTTTACTTTCATTTCTGACTACGGTTCGTATTTGTGAAGAAAGTCAACATGGGTAAAACATGGAGAAGAGGAAATGACACGCAAGAGGAAATGCACCAGACAAACACTACTCACATTAGTCAACTCAATACATGGGGAAAAGATATATATATGTTTTTATATATATATATATATATATATATGTTTATATATATGTTTATATATACATATATATATGTATTAAAAAACCAGCATGGTTTTGTTAAGTCCAAGTTAAGAAATATATTGCTGTTTCCTCCTGGCAATGGCGAAGTTGGTAAAGCGAATTTTTCTTTCACGTTAACTTCAGCATCTTTTCCCTACGTAATACAAAGACCATGCCCAAAGTGAATATGACCACACAAAAATTTTAGTTTTGAAAAACGTTTTCATGTAAATATACCATAATACTTTTTGAAACATATAATAAAATTAAACTTAGTTTAAGAAGAATCACACTTTATTCCAGTGCTAGAAATGCAAAAATACTTCATGTGTCCGTATTAAAGTAGTATTTTAATTACCTCCTCTCAAATACAACAATATATAACTGTTCTGCCAGCCACAAAAAAAGAGATTTTATTGCAATTTCAGAAAAAAATAGATTTAGTTTTGTTAGTTAATGAAATGTAAAAAGTCCTCATTTTCAACTGCCGCATAGTAAATACAGCATGGCTTACCCTGAAAAAATGTTACTGTAGAAGGAAAACGAAAATCCAGTAGTGTGAAAAGTATCTGCTTGCTAACCAGAAAATTTAATCTCTGTTTACTTTCAAATTTAATAAATAATCTAACCCAAAACTTAGTAAAGTATGTTTTTAGTGTATTGCAAGAGTTACTCAAATAACAAGCTTAGTTATTCATTTACCATTCAGTTGTTAAATAGCTACTTAATATGCCAAGTATTTCTATACACTGGGGATGCCAAGATCAGTAGAATATTGTACTTGATAAAGTACATAATTCTTCTAATGTTAGGTTGCATTTTTTAAAACTATGAAGTATAAAAACTCAGTACATCAAGAATCAGTATCTAAGTTCTTTGTAGAGGTAAAGACTCTTTACCTCTTTACCTCTATTATAGCAAAACTCTTTTGCTTGCACTCGGCTGCAAACTGAAAAGCCGGCAGTTCTAATCCACCAGCCACTCTGCAGGGGAAAGATATGGCAGTCTGCTTTTGTAAAGATTACAGCCTTGAAAATCTTATGGGGCAGTCTACTCTGTCCTATAGGGTCGCTATGCGGTGGAATCCACTCGATGGCAGTGGCTTTTGGTTTGAGAACTAAACTACATACATCTTTTATCTCTGAATTCCCATTGCCCCAACAATCCTTGGCACATACTAATAAAACAAAAACCAAACTCTCTGCCGTCAAGTCGATTCTGACTCATAGCGCCCCTATCGGACAGAGTAGAACTGCCCCCATAGAGTTTCCAAGGAGTGGCTGGTGGATTTGAACTGCCAACCTTTTGGTTAGCAGCTGAACTCTTAACCATTGCACCACCAGGGCTCCAATGGGCACATACTAGGAGTCAACTGAAACAAAGAAATCAATAAATAAGCTGCTCACTTGCCATCATTTTGGTGAGTCTGCAAAATTACTTTTGCCAATATCTCTACAAATAAGTTATTATCTGGATCAAAATGTTTAGTGATAATCTTATATTGCCATAATAAAACAGTTTATAAAAATATTAGTTTTCAATAAAAATATTATCTCAATAGATTTGAAAGACCTATTAAAAATATAATTTACTCAAGTACCTCTGCCTATCAGCCCATGGTCCATAGTTGAAATCTGTTCCTTTACCACAAACTATATCCAGTCCCCAACATGGAGGCAAGTCTTGCAATTTGCAATCCTCACTGTTCATTTCTCCTTCGATATTTTCTTCTGTTTCTTCTGGAACAAGTCCTATATTTCAGAATATACCACATAAAGACAATTACTTAAAATGACCATTAAAAAGTTTTCTTAGATCAATGGTTCTCAAACTTTTTGGTTTCAAGAACTCTTTACATGCTTAAAAGTTATTGAGGATGCTCAGTTTTTGTTTATGTGGATTACATCTATTAATTTTTTTTCTGTATTCAAAACTAAAATTCAGGAATTTAAAAAACATATATGAATTTTTTTAAATAATAATAAACCCATTACATGTTGACATAACATACTTCTAATGAAAAATAACTATTTCCTATAACAAAATAAAAATACTTAGTGAAAAGTTTGCCACTGTTTTTTATTTTGGCAAATCTCTTTAATGTCTAGCTTAATAAAAAATGGGTAGATTCTCATGTCTACTTCTGCATTCAATCTATGGAAGCATTTGAAGAAAATCTGGTCTTATACAAATTAGGCATCGTGGTTAAAGCACTCAGCTGCTAACCGAAAGGGAAGCAGTTCAAACCCACCAGCCACTCCAAGGGAGAAAGATGTGGCAGTCTGCTTCCATAAAGTTCTACTCTGTCTAGAGGGTCGCTATGAGTCAGAATCGACTCGACAGCAATGGGTTTGGTTTTGGAGTTTATTTTAATAGCCTTTTCAGATAATTTTCAATGTTCTTTGACACTATGTTAAAATTCAACAAGTGGTATTTCCTTAAAGGTTAGATACAATGTGAATCCTGAAACCACTATCACTGAACTTCTCATACTCTGTTACATTTGATTCTACTGGTCGCTCTTTCACTTTGAATATATTTTTACCCTTCACATGATTTTATAACATCATGTATTGGTCATTTGGAAAATACTGGTTCAGAGTTAAACGCAGATTTTTTCAAATCTTGGCAAATTTAATTGTAAAATATTTTGAAAATCGTATTTCTTAATATCACCAGTGATCTCATCAGAAAAGTTAAGTATCAGGAAGCTATTAAGCTCACAGTGGCAGATACAAGTTTTCCAAAATTCTAATTTCCATTTGAAAGCTCAAGACCATCATTTATCTGTTAGCTGCTCTTTCAAGTAAAAATGACGTTATATGAATAAAGCAAATACTTCAGCTTGCCTCTCAATCACACAAATGCTTTTCCTCAGGATACCAGCATGCTTTGGTACGCAGAATAAGTCCTTTACATGGACTTCCCATTTTGTTACACCGACTATTAGCATGATTTTACTCAAGGGTCAAGATTTGATAAAAATAATAATTTTTACTGCTTAATTAAGGACATTTTTAAGTAAAACTGGTATTTTTTTTTTTATACTGTGAGTGTCAGCAGTGAAAAATACAATAACTGCTAGTATGGTCTGAAGCCACTGTCTTGATTTGTCCTAAAGCACCAGCAGTTCTATTTACCATTGTTTTTGCACTGCCAGTGCAAATGTCAACATGATGAAAAAGGCAAATAACATCCTAGTTTTACTACGAAAATAGTTTTGACCTCATAAACCCTCTGAGAGGTCACAGTAACCCCTAGGAATTTACATGCCACAGTTTGAGAACTGCTGCCTTTGAATAGCTTAAAAAATGTATAACCCACACAGCTACTGCATTATAATTAACATGTAAGGATATAAGTTGAGGTTTTGTTTTTTGTTTTTTTTCCTAGGCACGGAATAAAAAGATCAAAAGTAGAAAAAGTGGACTAATAATCCAACGTTGAGATACTTTAATAATACTGAAGCTACCTGTGAAGTGCTGTAACGAGCTGAATTCCACTCTTTAAACTTTAAGCCTCCAATCTAACATACTGTGTTTTGTTTTTTCCTAAGTTAAGATGAACTTCCTTAACTATAATCACATTCTCTAAGGGTTTTCACTCATGGTCATTGGCATTGTCAGTTTTTGAGGTATTTCTGTGAAAATGGAATTTGAAGGAAAGACTACAATATTGGTCTATTTTAGTGTAGAAATACTAAAAGTTATATTCAACTTTTGAGAAAGGAAACAACAGAAATTTTTAGGCAGGCACTCTTATCTACCATTTGATACAAATTTCTATCTTAGGTAAGTATATATATTATAAGACATCAACATTTCAAAGCAAGATCAGAACTGTAGCTATGAAACATATTTCAAAACACAGTAATACCTGGCTCGTCCATGTAGTAGTAGATGTCAACATCATTTGACTGCATCACCACAAAACCTTCTCCCATTAATCTTGGTGGTCTACAAAAAGAAGGAGAAAGAGGCAAACGAAATACATCTCTAGAATATAAAAATGTTCATTATCCAAGTTAATGATAGTAATACATCAAAATAAAAATGAAAAATACTAAAAAGCATATCAACAGTAGCAACTCAAAAGGGGAAAAACATCTTTCACATCACAATAAACTGTTATATAATTGTAATTTATTGTAATTTGATACAAATACAATGGCATTGAAAATTTTTTCTCAGTAAGTTAGTCTGAGGGCAAAAAAATTTTTTTTAATTTTTCATTTTGTTTTGAATGAGAGAAATCAATTTAAAACAAAGTTTAATTAAGTACAACAGAATAGTGACATTGGAACAGAACAATCATAGCCTGCATTTGCAACAATAAAATTAAAATTTGACTTAAAAAAACTCTAAATAAAAAGTATTTTATCTACCTGTATAATAAAGTATAATAATTCAGAACCAGTAAATGAGAAAAAAAATGTTAAGTCATTTTAGTCTTTAACAACTTCATAATGTCAGCTTCAAGAATATTTAGTTGATCAACTTGAAATAAATTTAAAGTAAAACATCTTGAACTCAAACTCTGGAATGAGTGCTTCTTTACCATCAATTAACTCTCCACAAAACTACTACTCTTCATCTGCTTTGACTAAACAACTTCTGTTTTTGCCATCCAGTAGAATATCTTATTCCATATCAAAATAAGCTTAATTCTCAATAATCATGATAAACCAAAAAAACAAACCTGTTGCCACTGAGTCAGTTCCAACTCATAGCAACCCTACAGGACAGGGCAGAACTGCCCCATGGGGTTTCCAAGGAGCAGCTGGTGGATTTGAACTGCCGACCTTTTGGTTAGCAGCCGAGCTCTTAACCACTATGCCACCAGGGCTCCATCATATATAACAGCATATACAAATTCAGCAGTCTTCTTCTAAATATGTTTTAAATCACAAAGGTTATGCTTAATTTCATAAGTTACTCTCCACACTTATTTTGAAGAGTGCAAAATAAAATTTTCAATCCTTTAACACAAATTATTAATAGCAGAACAGTTTTTAAACTTGTGCTAGTAATTTTTATAAAATCCAGACATATTTAGCATAATAACTTTTACCCATAAATGTAGAATTGTGTGCATAGCCCACAGCCCAGAAGATGCTTAGCAATGTCTGTGATCCTGAAAATTGAGGATCACAGCCACTGTGGTACTCAAGTGGGAAAAATCCTATCATCTAGCCAGTCTCTGGAGAATCTAATATCAAGCCAGTAAGAGTTGGGACTAAAAAGGAATACTCATTCTTCTTAGAACCCCATAAGACTTTATATTGCCTACAGGCAAAGACAAAAGCTAAAACATTATAATGGACACTCATCAGAGAAGCACTTAAATTACACGGATTCAACCATACAGTCTCCTTCACACAAAAAGGAAAGAGATGAGGATAATGTCAGTATTGTGAGGGCCCATCATCCCACCTGTGAGCATGTGGCCTGGAGTCAGATGGGAGTTTATCTGCTGTTCCCTCAGGGTCCCTGTTCAACTAGTGTGTAAGCATCCCACCACACTGAGTGTGAGTCTAGTGTGCATCATTCATACAATGTGACCCCTAAATGCAAGCAGCTACTTCAATGAAGAAAAAGAAAAATCTGGAAAGCTAAGGAAAAAACTAACAGTTTGGAACTTAAAGAAATGCCAAGTGAGTCTCAAAACTGTGCCATCCTAACTGGAGTAATTCCCAAAAGTAATTTTGATTCAATTTTGAACTTTTCACTAACTCAAAATGGAACTCCACTATAGTGAACTTGTTGAATTTACTAACTACTCATACCTTCTGGAAACAAAACCCCACCTGTAATGTGTATTGTATTTTCTAACATAGAAACATCAGAACTTAATTACCCAAAATAAGTTTCCCCAACACAGTGAGTACGAAGAGAAAAGGCTAGAAAAATTATAGCTATAATCATACGGAAAAATATATAAAAGCAGAGTTTATTAATTGATAGCATATCCATTTATCCTATAAAGCAGGACTATACTATTAATTCTTTTATAGAAAAAGAACCTAGTTATTGCACAATTTGTAGCAAAGAAATGAACAGGATGCTAAGGTTCTAGATGATAATCCACATTAGATATAAAAAAGTTATTTGTTATTTTTTTTATAAGACTTTCTTACTCATCATTTTGAAGACCGACATATCTTGGACTAGGAACAAGCATGACTCGAACATTTTCAAGTTTTCCTTTTACAATATGCATAAATTGGTCAAGATGACTTGAAGGTGGTTTTGTAGTATAAGTTAAGAAAGCATCATCAAAGTTGATGCATAGAGTTTGAGGTTGGTAATGATTTCCAAAGGCCAAACGCCCCTAAAAAATAGATAAAAGAAATATTATATCATGCTATTCTGGCCATGTATTCTTTCCTTAGCTGACTTAAGAACAAATATTTTCAAGTATCAATTAAATGATTCCACTTTAGCACTATATGCTATTTAAATTATTTTACTGGTCAATTTAGAACAGTGTTTAAAAAATTTAAACACTTGTGAATAAATAGCCTTTAAGGCCTAATAAATTTGTGCTAAAACAGTATTGGTGTTAAAACAATCCTTTCACACATTACGGAAATAGGAACCAAAAAAACTCTACAAAATTACTTTCTTTTCCTAGGTGAAAATTATATTTGCAAAAATAAGTTCCTCAAATAGAAGTTCTATGTTATTAATCCATTAAACATTAATTGTGGCAGAATTTACTTACTGTGCTCACATTGACCTTTATGACTGGAATAAGTGATCTCCATGAAGCTGTGGGGTCTTGAGATTCTGTTTTTACTTTAACTCTGAGAGGGAAAAATAAAAGTAACATAAACAAGAAAAACTTGAACACCTGAGGATACAGTTGACTTCTTGCAAGATACCTTACCAACATCAGCTGTACCTTTCCAATCACATCTGACAACTGCTCCAGCAAACAAAACAATGATCATCTATGGAAATGCTGATATCCATAAAATGTCCATAGGAATGCACTCTATCTTAATCAATTTTTAGAATGACAAGCTATAATAACAAAACTAAGTTTTTAGAATAAATCGTAATAACAAAATGATAAAGTATGTATATGCTGTCATTACATCTACCATTATATTATCATATAGCATTTTATAAGAGAGCCAAAATTATTACCAAAACAATAGATGATCTAATACTACAAGTCATTTTGATGTCTTCCACTGTTTAAGCACTTCTGAAAACAAGCCAGCTGGTCCTTTTCCTTCCCTCCACCCGCCACCCTGTGGCAAAATAAGCACCCCTCAATAAAATGAAAACAAGGTAAGGTAAGAGTAAGAAAAAGGAAATTAGTCCTACACAAAGTACCCATACTTCAGAAAATGAATTCACTAAACACTTTAGAAGAAAGCTTGAGCACATCTCTTCAATAACCAGATGACTCCCAAATCACTCTTCTGAGGCTATCTCCACCAAGGTGTCCCTCAGCACCTAAAACTAAACTCAAAACTGACTGCACCACCTCCCCCAGCCTCCTCGCTGATTCAGTGTGACCACTGCTCAAATCTGAAATTTTGTTTCACTCCACATTAACTCACTCACTCAATCTTATGGATTCAATCTCCTCAGTGTGTCTTGAACCCATCCACTTCTCTCCTTTCCCACTAGCATCAACCCAGTGGATGATCACCTCTTGTCTAAACTGTTACAAGGGCCTTCTAACTCGTCTCCTGCCTCCAATCTTATTCTCCTCCAATCACACTGTGGCCTCCGTGTAAAAACCAAATTGCTAACACCTGGCCCCCAGTTACCTCTTTAGTCTAATTAATCCCCAACTCAAATAACCCACTGCAGCCATCACATACTATTTTTCAGTTTCCCTACTGCATACGATGCTTCTTCATCTGCTTCTTTGCCTGTTTAACTCGTTCATCCTTCAGGTCCTAGCCCTCCAGGATCCTTCTACGTGTGCCCATAGAATTCTTTTCTGCCCTATGGTAAGACTTCCTGCACTAAAATTACCTATTACTGATCAAACTCCCTTACTAGACTACAAATTGCCTCAGGACAGAGCAGTTGCCATATTCCCAGTTTCCCCAGTAACTTAACACAGTGCCTGGCACATAGAAGTGTCTATTAAATATTTACTGTAGGACTGAATATCCTTATTACCTACTAAAACAGCAACTATTTTGTCTTGTTTGAGTTTTTTTTCTTTAGGATGGAGGGCTGGTTGACATAAATGGTTGAAGCATACATATATATATATAAGACATTTTAAATTGCATAGGCATCATAATGTTAATCATAAATCCTATTTTTTAAATTCCAAATTTTACTCAAAAGTTTCTTTGTGAAACTGTGTATTTTTAAAATCAAAACAGATTGTCACATCTCTCTCCCATGGAGTGGCTGGCGAATTCAAACTGCAGACTTCTCAGTAACCAGCAGAGAGCTTAACCATTGTGCCACCAGGGCTCCTATTTGAGTTTTAACAACCTCTTTTTGTATTTTAACTATAGATTCTTCTATTATTTATATTTTCCCTTTATTATATCTAAAAATTGTTAATGAAAAGTCCATTTTTCTAAACTAGGTATATAATGAATCATTCCACTTAATAATGAGTATCTAAATTCTATATTCAACACTCATCTGTCAGTCTGTCATGCTGTGGTGGCTTGCGTGTTGCTGTGACGCTAGAAGACGGCCACCAGTATTCAAATGCCAGCAGGGTCACCCATGGTGGACAGGTTTCAGCATTGCTTCCAGACTAAGACAGACCAAGAAGAAGGACTAGAGGATCTACTTCTGAAAAAACTGGACAGTGAAAACCTTATGAAGAGCAGCGAACATTGGCTGACACAGTACCGAGAGGTGAGGCCCTCAGGTTGGAAGACACTCAAAATACAACTGGCTAAGAGCCGCCCCCTGAAAGTAGGGTCAATCTTAATGACATAGATGGAGTAAAGCTTTCAGAACCTTCGTTTGCTGATGTGGCATGACTCAAAATGAGAAGAAACAGCTGTAAACATCCATTAGTAATTGGAACGTGGAAGTTACGAAGTATGAATCTAGGAAAATTGGAAGTTGTCAAAAATGGAACGCTTGAAGATCGATATCCTAGGAATTAGTGAGCTGAAATGGACTGCTATCGGCCATTTTGAATCAGACAATCATATGGTCTACTAGGCTGGGAATGACAAATTGAAGAGGAACAGTGTCACATTCATTGTAAAAAAGAACATTTCAAGATCTATCCTGAGGTACAATGCTGTCGGTGATAGGATAATATCCATATGCTTACAAGGAAGACCAGTTAATATGACTACTATTCATATTTATGCACCAACCACTAATGCCAAAGATGAGAAAATTGAAGAATTTTACTAACTTCTGTAGTCTGAAATTGATCAAACATGCATTCAAGATGCATTGATAATTGCTGGTGATTAGAATGCGAAAGTCAGAAACAAAGAAGCGTCGGTAGTTGGAAAATATGGCCTTGGTAATAGAAATGACCATGGAGATTATCAAACAATATCATTAATATCATACGCAAGTAAAATTTTGCTGAAGATAATTCCAAAAAGTTTGCAGCAGTACATCAAAAGGAAACTGCCAGAAATTCAAGCCAGATTCAGAAGAGGATATGAAATGAGGGATATCATTGCTGATATCAGATGGATCTTGGCTAAAAGCAGAGAATACCAGAAAGATGTTTACCTGTGTTTTCTTGACTATGCAAAGTGATTCAACTCTGTGGCTCATAACAAATTATGGATAACATTGCAAAGAATGGGAATTCCAAAACACTTAATTGTGCTCATGAGGAACCTGTGCATATAACAAGAGGCAGTCATTCGAACAGAACAAGGGGATACTGCTTTAAAATCATAAAAGGTGTGTGTCTGGGTTGTATCCTTTCACCCTGTTTATTCAATCTGTATGCAGAGCAAATAATCAGAGAAGCTGGACTATATGATGAAGAACGCAGCATCAGCATTGGAGGCAGACTTATTAACAACCTGCGATATGCAGATGACACAAACTTGCTTGCTGAATGTGAAGAAGACTTGAAGCATTTACTGATGAAGATCAAAGACTACAGCCTTCAGTATGGATTATACCTCAATATAAAGAACACAAAAATCCTCACAACTGGACCAATAAGCAACATCATGATAAACAGAGAAAAGACTGAAGTTGTCAAGGATTTCATTTTTTTTGGATCCACAATCAATGCCCATGCAAACAGCACTCAAGAAATCAACGTATTGCATTGGGCAAATCTCCTGCAAAAAAACCTCTTTAAAGTGTTAAAAAGCAAAGACGTCACTTTGAGGACTAAGGTGCACCTGTCCCAAGCCATGGAATTTTCAATCACCTCATATACATGTGAAAGCTGGACAATGAATATGGAAGACCAAAGAAGAATTGATGCCTTTGAATTATGATGTTGGTGAAGAATATTGAACATACGACGGACTGCCAGAAGAACAAACAAATATGTCTTAGAAGAACTACAGTCAGAATGCTCCTTAGAAGGGAGGATGGTGAGACTTCATCTTATGTACTTTGGACATGTTATCAGAAGGGACCAGTCCCTGGAGAAGGATCTCATGCTTGGTAAAGCAGAAGGTCAGAAAAAAAGAGGAAGACTCTCAATGAGATGGACTGACATAGTGGCTACAACAATGGACTCAAACATAGCAACAACTGTGCAGATGGCACAGGACGGGCAGTGTTTCATTCTGTTGTACATAGGGTTGCTATGAGTTGGAATTGACTCGACAGCACCTAACAACAACAATTTCTATATGGCTTAATAATTTTCTAAGATTTTCATTAAAATGTGTTTATGGTGATAAAAGGTACTCTGGTAGCATTAACAGTTAAGTGCTTGGCTGCTAACTGAAAGGTTGTGGGTTCAAACCCAACCATCAGCTCCACAGGAGAAAGACCTCATCAACTTATGATTGTGTCCCATGTCTCTCAGCCTTCCTCCATCAATCAACATGCTCAGGTCTACCCCTCACATTAACAAACACATACATGAGGAACAAACAGCTCTCTTAATTATTAACCCTGGAGCAATCATCTCAATTTCTTCATATTTGTGTAAATCATGGGAGTAGGGCTTGGGGAGATGAGAAAGGGAACCTAAACTAGTGACCATCATTTCCTCAGCAGTGATTTATTCCTAAGTCAATTTAGTCAAGTTTTTCCACATCGCTCCACAAAAGTACTCACCAATGATCTCCTAGTAGCAAAATCTAATTGCCTTCTCTAAGACTGATTTTTCTCTGAATACTAAGAGACAACATTCTTTTATCTCTACTTTCTTCTTAAAACTTCCTTCTTGGTTTTTGTGACAGTCATTCTTTTATCTTCCTATCTGCTTCTTCTCTGTCTCTTGCCCTGTCAACAATATCTATGCACAAAGATATGCCATACGCACCATTTTTAAGAGTGAAATACAGTCATCAAGGTTAGAATGGTTAAACTTTGGTAAAATCATTTGATGTTATCCAATCATTAAGAATGTAGTTGTTAACACTACAAAACATGTCAAAATTCTATGCCACAATATTAAGTTCTAAGAGTAAAATGTGTGGATCCAGTATTATAACTTTATGAAGATAGAAACAAGAAGATAACTTCCAAGTCTACATCTACAATTCTGATCACTCTTCTGATAGCTTCATATCTTTATCTGACAGTGTAATACCTTCACTTAGGTATCTTTCAGTCCTTCCAAATTCACTCCAAACTCTACGACTCAACTCCTTATCTTTATATTCAAAACAATTTATCCAACAGACTTTCTCTGACATTCCCACCAGTTTTGTTTTTTGAGTTTTTTTTCTATTACAAAGACTCAAAGCTTACTGTTGTCTGTCTTTCCTCCCTCTACCTCTACCACTACAGACAATCTATCACTAAGCTCAACTCCCTTCATAGTATCTCTTGTACTTCTCACTTCTTCTCCATTTCCACCAGTATCGTCCTCGTCCATACTATTCTTACCTCCCTGGGGCCACGTGTTGAACACTGGCACTAAATCTCAATTAACAATGATCTTCAGTTCTCTCTCATTTATTATATACCAGGGGTCGGCAAATTTTTTCTGTAGAGGTTTAGATATTAAATATTTTAGGCTTTATGGGCCAACTCTGCCACTGAGTACAAAAGTAGCCATAGTCAATATGCAAACAAATGGGTGTGGTTATGTTCCAATAAAACTTTATAAAAACAGGTGGTGGGTTGGATTTGACCTGTGAGTCAAAATTTGTATATCTCTACTACAGAATAACATTGTTTTTAATGAGGTAGACATACATATACAAATATGTAAACATCTTAAAGATACACTGCTATATAAAAAGTAAATTACAGAACTATACACACTATATAAACCCATATCTGATTTTTAAAAACACATAAAACAAAATCACATATCTGCATACATACCTTATTTATATATACATGTGTGTGTATATATATGTATGCATCCAAAATTTTTTTTAAAAAAACAAGTTGATAGCAATAGTTATCAATGAGGAGCGAAGCAGAACTGGTGAGTAGAACAGGATATACCTTTACATTATATAATAGTGTGTTGAATTTTTAAAAGAATTATACATTTATTTATGTAACTGGAAGTTTTAGTTAACCTATGAAAAAAATTTATTACTGTGTTTAGGTGAACAGAGTCAATAATATTCTGATAAGGACAAATGTTTAAATACAAAAAAGTATAACACTGAACCTTTCAATTTTGGACTGGGTTCTTGTTCTCCCGTTATCCCGTGTTTTATCATCTTCTTTTTTGGGCGGAATTATTGTTGGTTCCAAACCAAACAATTCTTGAAGGCGTCCATAAAGATCAGAACGATTGTAGACATGAAATTCAAAGTCATTGACTGTAATATATAATCTGGTTTCTGCCTTTGGATCTATAGACATCAATTACAAAAAAAAAGGCTTTTAGTCAATTTTTTTCCACAGCTAAAGTAATTCAAATTTGTTTATTTTAAAACAGAATTTTACAATATAGAGAAAAACTCATTGTCCTCGAGTCGATTCCAACTCATAGTGACCCTATATAACAGAGTGGAACTGCCCCATAAGGTTTCCAAGGAGTGGCTGGTGGATTTGAACTACCAGCCTTCTGGTTAGCAGCTGAGCTCTTAACCAGTGCACCACCAAGACACCATGATATAAAGAAGCATATTAAAATAAATACAAAATACTGGCAAAAGAAATTAAAAAGTTGATGTTACTATAGTATTTTAACTTACCATTCTAAAAACAACCTGAATTTCTAGATTCTGGTTGTATAACAAATTTAAAGATGGTAAGATAAATAAAATGTCATTTACACAGTAAAAGTAAAATGTTACCCTAAAGTAAAGCTGTAAGTTTATACTAAAACACACAGTAAAATGTTCAAAGTGTTATGTATTTAAACATATTATTATTACCTGAATTCTGCATCACAGAAAGTAAGATTTTTCATAAATACATAAAATTCATTTTTAAAAACTACACAATACTCAAAGGTTTTATAAACTATAGATTTCAAACAATATTCTTATCACATAAAAGACATAATTATATTAAGTATAAGTAGTCATAGTAATTAATGAATCCATAAATAAGGTGATGGATGGGACATTTCTTTCTTTTAAAATAAACATATCTAAGACAGTACAACTGTTTCCAAATAGAGCTAAATAATGCACATCACATGTCAACCAGAGGTCTGAAGGAAGGTACCATAGTCAGTGCTTTCTTTTATAATCATACACGTTTTCTGATACATCTTTTAACCTTTATCCATTTTTATCTCTATCCAGTAAATTCAATTGAAAACAAATTAAAATTAGACATGATCAGTTAGAAAAGTTTAATTTTAAACAACAGGTGGAGAGACTTTATTAACTTTCAGTTTAGTAGCTTAAGCTGTGATTTAAATATAAGGTATATACTTTTTAGTAAGGTACCAAATTTCACCAAAATTAATACTGTTTTCTCAAATTATTAACAAAAAGACATATGGAATGTCAAACACTTCAAATAAATGCAAATTTTGTTTAAACAAACAAAAAATACATTGTAACTGATATTTCAAAAATAAACTAAGGAAAATAAATCAGCAATATTGATTTTTCATACGATAATACTTTACTTCTGCTCCAATCTAGGTGATTTTTTTCCCCTTATTACTTCCTAAGACAACTGAGAAAACGTAAATAAACCCAATCCTTACAAAAACTGATGTTTAGGAGCTGTAGCTGTGCTGGTATTTTTTAAATAGCTCTTCGATCTATGTTCGCTACTATTTCTTTGGGTCTACTATATGATTTACAGCTAAGACAATCCCAGAACTGTTACATCAAAGTCTTCATCCCTTTTTTTTTTTGGTGTGGGTCAAATTCTTAAAATTAAAATAAACATAATAGGAAATACCCAGATCTGACAGAAATAAATATCATTATTCATTTTAAACAAGTAAATCAAACGCTGTCACTCATTAGGTTTAAACCTTTCCTTAGTAATAACATAAATCTCACCCAGGACCTCTCTCCAGAATGCCAGGTTTGAATATCCAGCTGCCTTACTCAACATCTCCACTTTGATACCTAACAGGTATCTCACATTTGACATGTCCAACCAAACACCTGATTTTCCCATCCAAACCTACTCCACAGTATTCCTCAACTCATTAATAGCAAGTCTCTTTTGCTCCAGCCAGAACAACTTTACTGCTCTCCTCTCTTATCCCAGATACAATAAACCCTGTCAGCTTTGTATCCAGAATCCAACCACTTTTCAACACCTCCATCGCCACCACCCTGGCCCAAGTCACCATCATCTCCTACCTGCTTTATACCAATAGCCTCCTAACTAGTATCCTTGTTTCTGTCCTTGTTCCCTGCAAACCTGATTAACTGGCCAGATCTTAAAAGCCTAACTGAGATCATGTTGCTCTCCTGTTTCAAATCTTCCAATGGCCTTCCCTCTCACTCAAAGTAACACCAAGGCCCTTTAAATAACCTATAACATCCTACAGGATCTGCACTTTTCCCTCCTCCTAATCCTATGTCTTCCACCTGCACTTCAACTATACTGGCCTCCACTTTAGTAATGAAACAGAAACAGGGCAACCATGAAATAGTCTTACTCAAGATACAGGGGCTCATTCGCTCACCTGCTTCACATTTCTGCTTAATTATTCTCTGTCAATAAAGCTTTTTCTGACTTCCCTATGTAAAACAGCAACTCCTTGCAAATCAGCACTCCCCATTCCACGGATTATGATCCTGCTTTTACTTTCCTCACTGCCATATCTTCTTCATGCATTCCTCAATTTTATATTTACATTCAAGTGGGAGGGGGGAGGTTGGATTCAGGCAAAACATTTATATAATTTTGCCTGAATCCAACCTCCTCCCTCCCATATGAATGTAAATTGTTCTAGGCACCAGGGAAACAATGAGGAACAAGACAAAGTCCCTGCCCTCATGGAGCTTAATATATTTAAATGGGAGGGGAGAGGTTGGATTCAGGCTATATATATTATACATATATATATATATAAAACGCATTTAATGTATTAAGCTCCATAAGGGCAATGGCTTTGTCTTGTTCACTGTTGTTTCCCCAGTAACTAGAACAATGCTTAGTACATAGAAGGTCTCATTTCTATGAGAGACTAACAGAGCATCTTCCTACAAGCCATACTCCTAAGTAAAGTAAAATATCTACAAATAATTCTTAGCTTAGAACTTTTGAAAACCCAACAAGTGGATACATAATAAATGCAAAGTAGCATATTTTTCTCTTCTCAGGTTGATGTATACAAGTGGGAATTAATTATGATACAATTCTTCAAGGTCACAAAAACACTAAATCAACATTTACCTCAAAACTCATTTAAGTCATTTGCTTTCAAATTTACCTAGGGAACTGCTTACCAATGATTCCTGAATACAAATGCCCTAATCATTAAGGATATGCTATAAAGATTGATGGGTAAGCTGCAGAAAACAGGAATGGGAAGAGTAAAGACTGGGGATGAGTCCCTAATTGGATCAGCAGGGATAAATTAACAAACGCCAACTGTATAAAAATGGAAACAGGCGTACTCTCAATTTCATCTCTAACTTGCTGGACATGGACAACACATTCCATTTTTTCCAATATAACTAACTGGGTAAGAATCTGGCTCCATTAATTTACTAAAGACACCAAAGCATAAAAATGACAGTATCAATTTCTGAAAGTATTTTGACAACACTGATAAACACTAAATAAAACTGTAAATCCCACTCAACATTTTCTATCCCATTTCCCCAGTTTTATTATTATATTTTGTGTGCACTCCCCCCACCCCAATACACACACACTAGAATGAAAACTCTATGATAGAGAAAAGTTCTTTCTCTTGTGTTCACTATTAATTCCTGGTGCTTAAAACAGTTTCTGGCACATGAGAGATACTCAGCAAATATCTGCTAAATCAGTGAATAAAAAAAATGAAGAGGTTTTTTTAAATTTAAAAAAGACTGAACAAAATAACTAGAGTACTATCTTCTTTTTAAAAATCACTTAACAAGTATTATCAAATATTGAATCTATCATCATTTTGAAAGTACCTTCTTATTTCACATTTTAGAAGAACATATAGTGGAGTTTACATCCCAACTTTTTAATTTGTTCTATTGTTTCTATCTGTTTCACCTGCATTAATAATATTCAAACTACAAAACACTATTGCAAGAAACCAGAAGAGACTGACATAAATGGAAAAACATACCATATTCATGGATAGGAAGATTCAACACTGTGGAAATGTCAATTCTACCCACGGCAATCTACAGATATAGTGCAATCCCAATCCAAATACCAACAGCATTCTTTAATGAGATGGAAAAACTAATTACTAAGTTTATATGGAAAGGCAAGAGGCCCCAGATAAGTAAAGCACGATTGAAGACGAAGAACAAAGTAGGAGGACTTACACTATCTGACCTCAGAACCTACTATACAGCCACGGTAGGTAAAACAGCCTGGTATTGGTACAACGACAGACACATACACCAGTGGAACAGAATCAAGAATCCTGACCTAAATCCATCCACCTATGGTCAGCTGATCTTTGACAAAGGTCCAAAGTCCAATAAATGGGGAAAAGACCATCTTTTTAACAAATGATGCTGGCAAAATTGGATGTCCATCTGTAAAAAAATGAAACAGGACCCATATCTCACAGCACACACGAAAAACTAACTCAAAATGGATCAAAGACCTAAATGTAAAACCTAAAACAATAAAGATCATGGAAGAAAAAATAGAGGCAACACTAGAGGCCCTAATACACGGCATACAGAGAATACAAACCATAATTAACAATGCACAAGTATGAGAAGATAAACTAGATAACTGGGAGCTTCTAAAAATTAAACAATTATGCTCATCGAAAAAACATCACCACAAGAGTAAAAGGAGAACCTACAGACTGGGAAAAAATTTTTGGCTATGACATATCTGACAGGGGTCTAATCTCAAAACTCTATAGAATACTTTAATACCTCAACACCAAAAAAGAAAAATAATCCAATTAAAAAATGGGCAAAGGATATGAACAGACACTTCACCAAAGAAAACATTCAGTCAACTAACAGACACATGAGGAAATGCTTGTGATCATTAGTCATTGGAGAAATGCAAATTAAAACTACAATGAGATAACATCTCACCCCTACATTACCAGCACGAATCAAAAATAAAGAAAATAACAAATGTTGGAGAAGTTCCAAGGAGACTGGAATTCTTATGCATTGCTGGTAGGAATCTAAAATGGTTCAACCATTTTGGAAAACGATATGCCACCTCCTTAAAAATCTGGAAATAGAAATATCATATGATCCAACAACCCCACTCTTAGGAA